AACCTCGGTAGCAGGTAGGTGATAAGTTCGGCAACGTCATGCTGCTGATGCAAGCGCCTCCAGCTTCCAAGCAGTGCCCGCCAGGGCAATTGGGACACAACCTGAAGTGGTACGCAAGATCCACGCTGGGTAGTGCGTAGCAGATTTTGGAGGTCCTTGGCCAGCACCGGCTGTCCTGGCCCATGAAGCCGAGCCTGCAGGACTGTCCACGCATAGGCCACTAGTGTGGAATTGAGGTAGCACAAGTTGGTGGCATTGTGCAGGGATAACTTCAGCACAGATTTAAGACCGGGGACCGCACCTACTCTCGACTCCAGATCTGGCTCACCAGATTGTCGTAGTTTGGGCGATCGCGTCGTAGACGGCACCCCAGGGTGTGCCATGCGGACTGGCCAATCCATTGCTGCAGCGTGCTCCATAGTGGAGCACCGTCCATCCTCAGGGAGACTGCAATCTGAAACTGCACCCAGTCCGTTGTGACCTCGGTAGAGAGAGGCCGGATGCTCTTGAATCGAAGTAGCGTCTCTTCCGAGGCGGCTTTCCGGACCTGCACTATCTGTGCTAGCAAGTCCGATGTCGAGACCGCCCGAAGGGAGGTCTCCACCTCCAAGGCTTGCTGTGCCGGGTTCCATTTCAGAATCTTCCAGCACTGATCGCTGTCCAGCCAGCCCAGGGATCGCGCATGCTCCATTGCCTGTTGCGATTTGGCCGTTTCTGTCAGTCTCTCCTGGAGAGAAATCAGGAGTTGCTTGAACATCGTGAGCTTCAGGGAGAGGGTGAGCTTGTCCGGGGTTTCCTCCCTGATAGTCCTCCATTTGTCCGCTGCTTGACACAGGACCGGGATCATGCCATCGTTGCCCGTCCTCATGAACAGGTACATCGTCATGTCCTGGCGGAGGGACGCAATGACTTGCTCCTGTCGCAGTGCCAGCTGGGTGAGTTTCTCCACTCTCCCCTCCAGCCATGTAGAGGGAGAGGTCCTGTCCGGCACCCACGGTTGGTCCTGTTCGTCGTCCAAGCCACTGGAGTAAGCCCACATTCTTGCCGACGGGTAGACCCCCTGTGGTAGCGGGGAGTTCGACTTGCCCTTTCCTTTGCCCTTGCCTTTGCCCTTGCCTCGGCCCTTGGATGGGTCCTGGGGCTCCAGTCGCTGTCGCTTGCCCAGGGCCTGGGT